AAAAAGAACCAAAATTTTCTTCTAGATAACTCCTTATAATAACGACTAGTGGGAGTATAAATTGCTTCATGTGCCCGACTTTTAGATTTCCTATATGTTTCATCATAGTTATTTCAGTCATTAGATTTTTTTAAAAGTAGAATCTAGGATATGTAGAAGGGAAAATAACCAAAAAAAAAAGAAGCTAAAAATTACTAGATACCAAATAAAGAATATTAAAAAAAATTTGTTATTATTTACAAATTCAGTGTTGTCAACGGTAAATAAAGTATTGTTACTAAACATAATTTGGGATTTAATAATTTTCAGTTTTGTTTTTTTGTCATTTTTCCTATGTAGAATAATAAGGTCCTTGATTAAAATTAAACAAGTGAGATTGACTTGTACCACGGCCAACTAGGACGTACATTAGGAAATTGGGGGGGGGGGGTGGAATTAAAATTAAATTTCTTTTTGATTCCGGTAGAAACCCATTAGTTTCGAAACAGAAGCTCGCGCTCGGCTCGCATTAGTCCACAACTCTAATCATTAAATTTGGATTTTGCTTTTGAGAAAAATTGGACAGAAAAAGTTTAGAGTGTAACTCTAGGTCGTAATTAATTAGAGTCGAATTTTGCAAATTATTAAATACGAGGGAGACTTTTTTTTTTTTTGGCCAGACGAGGGAAACATGGTTTTAAAATTATGTTAGCATGTTTCCCACCTTCATAAACCTATGAGCTGCCAGTGCTCATCCTTAAAACAGGTAATCACAATAAATATTATCTTTCTCTTGTCTTATATATAAAATACAAATAATAAAATTAAGAAAATAGAAAATTTGTTTAAAATAACGGATATGTAAAAAGTGTTTTATTTTTCAACCACCTTATTAAATAAAAAATAATAATTTTTGCAATCCATGGAGGCTGAAGGGAGTTATAATTTACAGCGTGGAAGCACATTAATGATAGTTACATTACTAAGTGTAAATTATAATTGTGAAATAGTCAGCATTAATTGAACAATTGTTCCATGCGGTGATGATTTGGGCCGAAAGATGAGTAATGTCTCTACTGGGTCGAGCCCATAATCCAGACGCTAAGTCCAATTTTAGCCCACCAACTTCTCCACCCATAGGGATTGGTTTTAGTGTTCAAAATGGTGCCCCCATGTATTTAAAAAAAAACTCCCAAAATAATCACCCATTGATGAACATGCTTTCTATTTATAAGACTGATGCATAATTACACAAAAATACTGGGGAATAGAATGATTTTCGGTTTTAATTAGCTTCAATCAATATAGGCTTTGTAATTTGTAAATTTTATGTTATTTGATAACTTCAGAGATTGTTTGCCTTGGATGCAAAAGTAAACCAATTGCTAAATTTGTTTTTTTTTTTTTTTTTAACTTCCCGTGAGATAAATAATTTCACCATTGCCCAGCCCCGTAATATGTTTTCACCCCAGAAAATGACTGAGCCCACCAATCCACAGGGCTCATATTGTCATTTGCCATTAAAAAATTCCAAAAACAAGCGAGTCACATAAATCTGTTATTATTTTTTATCGTAGAATTTAGTGTTAAGGTGCATGATCTAGCACTTTGAACTTCTTTTCGGATACATCCAGTTCTGTAAACTATTTTGTTCTTTGCAATTCACCCATAATGTATTAAAAGTGGACAGTTTCATCCGTGCCAAAGGTACCTTAACCATAGAATTTATTATTGCATGTTATTCACTTTTTATGTATGAAACTTTTTCATGATTACATTTCTTCCTGGTTAATAAATTCATTTTTTTAAAATATTAATAATTAGAATAATATTTTTAACTTAGACTTTCCAATTCCATACGTCTGTTAAAATAAGAAATCGTCGTTAATATTAAAATAAAAAAATTAAATCTGAATTATTCGAATTTAATCTTACGGACGATGATGAGAATGGAAATGAATTCCTTCCAACTACACATATATTGTTTTCACACACACACACACACAAAAGTATAAGCAAGGGACAGAAAGGTTTCCCCACAAAATATCCATAGTTGATACTTAAAAATTAAAAACAGAATTGAATATTTGTCGGGTTTCAATTTTAAAATGAAGAGCAAATAAGATGAATTTTTTACCAAGATCCTACAAACAATAAAATAAAATACCAGTATGCTATGCTTTGAAGAATAATTGGGAGATGTTATATTTAAAATCGTTCAGAGAGTGAACGAGTTTGAAAATACAAACTTCCTATATGATATTTTATTTTTTTGACAGGATTTCAACTTCCATCATCACACAACCCCATGTTCCCATCTTGACCCCGACTTTTATTTTTCTTTTTATTTCCTCTCGCACGCCCCAACCCTCAAGTGCGCAGTGTGGCATTCTTCCCCTTCTCAAATTATTCTTGCTCAATCCTTAACATGGGACCCGCATCGCGCATGCCCCTGCTTTCTTTCTTATTTTCTCCTTTCCTTTTCCATTTTCCTTTGGGTTTTTTTTTTAATCCTATTGGAGTTATCTCATTATGCTAAAAACTTAATGAAATAGTTTTTAGCAGATATTTGCTTTTTTATTCTTTATTTTTCATAAATAGGTATAAAAATAGGCTAACATTTAATGAGATAACTTTTGGTAGAGATGTACTATTTTATCCTTTATTTTTCATAAATAAGTATCAAAATATGCTAAAAATTAAATGAAATGACTTAAATAGAATAAAAGATATTTTCTCTCTACTTTATAAGCAAGGCTAGAGGAGTATATTTGGTTTGTATGGTAAAAAAGGTTTATATTTAGGACCAGAAGAATTTTTTTATTTTTTGCTTTGCAGGAAAACATAAACCAAGATTGTAAAATAAAACAACACATAGGAAGTTGTTCTTGCTAGGAATGTCTTCTTTGTAAACTTGTTCACCCTCTGAACGATTGTAAATGTAGCATCTCTGTAATTATTTTTCAAAGTATGGCACTTTTGATATTTTATTTTACTGTTTGTAGGATCTTGGTAAAAAAGCCCAAATAAGATTTAATTATTCGAACCAATGTTCAAGAGAGATTAACAAAGTTTATTAAAAATGGTGCTCCCACAATAATCACCAATTCATGAACATGCTTTGCATTTCTAAGATTGATATATAATTACACAAAAATGTTGAACAACGGAATAAAAGACATGATCGTTTCCCGTTTTATGCTTCTTCTGTTTAGCCTTTTTCAATTTTGTGATTGAGACTCCAAAGTCACACTTAGTTGTGAGTTTCTTGCAAATCATAATTATCTCCCAATGGACTTTTACTTAGCTTCAATCAAAATAGGCATTGTGGGTTTTACGTTATTGGATAAACCCTTCTTTTGGAGCAAAACAACTACTTCAAACATTGACGGCCTTAAATCCGCAGATGCTTGGGTGCAAAGCAAACCGATTTCTATGATTTGTTTCACTTCCTCTGCATCATAATCATTAGGGTTTAGGGTCTCATCCACCACCTCCAAGTGGATGCCTCTTCATATAGTTTCCAAGCCTACCAAGTGGGATTAAAATGTAATTGAGTAATAAGAAGGTTAGAAAAAAGATCACAGCAAAACTTATTTTAATGTTTCTTAAATAGTTATTGAAATTGTATTATGATATAGGAGGAATAGCTTTTCCTAAAGGAGTCTCCATTGATAAGAAAGTTATATATTATATCGCCTGAAAAAAAAAAAAAAAGTTTTTGTAAATAGTCAAGGAAATTTCATCACCTTTCTAAGAGGAATTCACATTCAGCATCGCCATCAAGTTTTAACTCATTATTTTTTGGGCCGCTAAAAATCTCTAGGATAACAACACTAAAACTATAGATATCATCCTTTTCTGACAATTGACCATGGGTTACATATTTGGAGCTGTATATCCTCTGCAAAATGCATAATATTAATAATGATGTCATTGACTAGAATACGACTCAAGCTAACATAAATGAAAATATTTAGAACAAAAGAAAAATCTAAAATTGTCATATACAACACAAATTATCGTACGATGTTCCACTTATGAATAATATCCTGAAGTATTCATGCTCGTACGAAGGCAAAAAAAGTAGTTAAATATATTGGTGCAATAGAAACCTTTCAATAATCAAGAATTAGAATAGAAGTTAATAAATTACAGAATAAAATTATTCAGACTTACATTGTTCCTGCAACTTTCGTGCTAAGATAAGATTTTTCTTTAGGTAAAAGTCTTGCTAATCCAAAATCAGAGATTCTAGGTTGTAAATCATCATCCAAAGGGATGTTATTAGTCTTAATATCTCTATGTATAATACAAACATGATATTCCTCATGTAGATAAGCCAAATCACTCGCTGCTCCTAAAATTTATTATACCGCTGCTTCCAATCAAGAGAACCCTTCTTTTTACCTATTTTCAAGGCAACACATTATAGGTTAGAGATAAAAAGGAAAGGACGATGAAATATAAAAAGCAATTCATCAACAAATGTTTCCATATACGAAAAATGGACATATATAGATATTATAAGATCTTTAATAAAATTATGACATATGAATGAATGTTTGTTAAAGATGTTATATATTGTCAAGTTGAAAATGTGTCCATGTGGAGAATGTTATTCAGATACATAGTGGCTAATGATTAAATTATATACAAGAAAGCTGGTTGATAAAAGGGATACCAAATAGGAATCTGTCCAAACTGGTGTTTTTCATGTATTCATAAACAAGTATTCTCTCATCGCCATTACTTATAAGATCTTTAATAAAATTATGACATATGAATGAATGTTTGTTAAAGATGTTATATTGTCAAGTTGAAAATGTGTCCATGTGAGAATGTTATTCAGATACATAGTGGCTAATGATTAAATTATATACAAGAAAGCTTGGTTGATAAAAGGGATACCAAATAGGAATCTGTCCAAACTGGTGTTTTTCATGTATTCATAAACAAGTATTCTCTCATCGCCTTTACTGCAACATCCAAGAAGCCGAACCAGATTTCGATGATGAACATTACTTATAAGCTTTTACTTCACTCTCAAATTCTTCCTCCACTCTCTTGGAGTGACGTCGTAAAGTTAACTTCTTGACTGCAACTACTTTTTCATTCTTTAGAGTGCCCTGTTAATGATAATAAAAAATTTTAGTCCTCACATTGTAAATGTGCGTATCTATATATGTGTGTGTAAATCACTTTTAGAACATACTCGCTTTGGATTATGAAATATATCGAAATATTGGAAATCTAAATATATTTACCTTATATACAACGCCAAATCCTCCTTCTCCAAGTTTATTTTCTACACTGAAATTTTTTGTTGCATACTTCAAATCCCCATAATTATAAGTAACTGGGCCTTTCAACTTGCTTGCTCCAGTTATGTCTCCTGTTAAGGAAAAGATTTATCAAAGGTCGCTTCAGTACTACTCATCAGGAATTCCGTTGTTCTTCGAAGAGATGAAAATTAAAACGAAAGTCTAGAATCTTTTATATCAAGGAGGAAATGTGAAAGGTAAAGCATCCCATTATTATAGTTGAAGACCTTTTTAAACTGGTTATTACCTCTAGGAACTCTCTCACGCCTTTTTGGTCGTCTGATATAAGCCAGTAGAGTAAGAAGGAGCAAAACAAAAGCCACCCCTCCAACAGTTACCCCAATAATGATCCCTTTCTTGCTTGAACCAGCAAGATGGTAAAATAAAAAGAACTCCTTTTCAAACCAGTAATAACTACTCCCTCTAGTCTTTATTATAAGCTCAAATAATTAATTCTCAGATAACAAACAATTAGTTAAAATTAGTTAAAAACAATAAATAAGTTAGAGATATACTTTTGTTTCAAATATGTCCTTATAGTAAACGAGAAAAAAGATAAAAGAGAATGTGTAGAGAAATGTGACAGGAGAGAAATAATTAAGAGTCATTGGAAAAAATGTCTTAAATGTTAAGACAAAACCCAAATTAAAGTTATAAAATGGATACACCCCTTCTTAAAAGGAGTATTAACTACTGATTCATTTTAAAAAATGTCATAATTACCGCGTACTATATATATTCATACATAACATCACAGGCACACATGAATTAAAATAAGAAATAGTCATTTCAAATATCACGCCGGTCCTATATAACATAACAATGTGACAATGCCAACATAATGCTTCAGTCATTTTCTATGACACATATGCATATTTACAGGATATGTTTTAATACTCAAGCACTGAAATATGACATATATAACATAAGATCCAGAATTACACATAAATAAACCAGAATGTTATGTTGTAATTAAATATTGAAGTATTTGAATTCACTGCACCTTGTTTAACTGATGGATTATTACTGATATGAATGGTGTGGTTATCAGGAAAGAAGGAAATTGTGGGGTATCTGATGAAACAGCCAGCATCAAAAGCCCTACCATCTGAATTGGGAAGGCAAGTCTGAACTGTGTTGACCCCTTGTTTCAAGCAATCCTCACACCCACTTTGTGAGATAGTTTCAGTACACTGAGCATAGGCATAAATAGTTTCTTCATCATCATTATTATTATCAGGGACTTGAGTTTTTGTTGCTGCAGAAAAACCAGTGACTGTGGGCGTTGTGGTTTGAAGATTCATTAGGAGTTGTTGTGCCGCTGAAGTAAATGCAGTGGCTGCTACTTCCACACTTTGATTCCCACACGATGCAGTATTGAAAATTCCTGTTGTCTGCTCAAGTATATTGGTACTCTCATACCTAATAACATGCCATAGAAACAAAAATTCTTATTTAGATTAAGTGAAATATTGTTATTTTGTTGGTCCTGTTACTTTAAGTAAATGCAATTGAGTATGAAAAACTAAAAAAAATTTTAAAAAAAAAGGGTTAATGAGTATTATATATGTTTCTGATGAGGTACTTGTCCCCCCCTAGTAGTGTCATTTTGAAGCATTTTTAAAAAAAATAATTATACCCAATGTAAAAGACAAGAAACAGTTCTTCTCACAATGTCGTCAGGAGCCATTAATTGTTCTTGAATCTCTCTAGTCGATCATATCCACCAAGATGACGTATCGTGATAATCTTGATTGTGGAACAATTAAAAAAAAAAAAAAAAAACAGAGAGATCTTCATCGCGCCATTTTTTTGGTTACATATTTCACAAAAAAGAAAGGCATACCCATTATTGACCAACAAATGAAAATATAATATCGAAAAATCATATATAACACCAGCTAAAAGAAAATTTTATGTAAATAATAATAATAATATGTTTAATTTATAACTAATTATGATAAATCTAGTTTATCACATAATATTCTATGAAAAAATATATTACATACTACCTTCAGTCCTAATTATAAGAACTAATTGACTAATGTGAGGATATTAAGTAAATGAGTTAAGTTAGTTATTTGTAATAAATAGGTGTTATCTTTCTTAAAATATTCTTGCTAATCAAGTCTATTGGCTAGAACTACCATATTAGAAGGACTACCTTAGAAAAAAAAAAATACATAAATATGAGAGACAAAGTAAATTGAGGTATTATATTTAGGACCAAAATAAAAGTCAAACAAGGTCTTATATTAAAGACCGGAGGTAGTATTTTGCCAAAAAAATTAAGAAAGCAAGGGATGTGGCCGTACCTGAGGAAGCAGCCGTCAAAGATGACACGAGCAAAGTTATTGCCGGCGGAGCAGTTCAAGATCTGTGCGGCGGCATGGGTAAAGCAGGCGGCGCAGTCGGCGACGGAGAGGTAGCTTCTGCACTGAAAAATACCGTAAACGGGGAGGTTTCCGTGCGCCGTGGCGAAGAACCTGCTCTGATTCACCACCTGATATGAGAGATCGCGAAACGTTGCGCTTACACTGTCATTGAAGGACTTAGTATCGTACTCATCTCTACTATATTGGAGGCAGGCTCGACCAAGAAGATTGGTCTGAGGGTCTGAAACGACGCCGTCAAGGGAGCAGCATGACTGGACTATGAAGGTAATAAACAAGGGAGGAAAGAAAGTAATAGGTTGAAGCATGGTTTTGTGGAGTTTTGGCGGGAGAGATCAGAGATGTGTGTGTGTGTGTTGGGTTAGGTCTGTGGGAAGAGAAAGAAGAGAAAAAGAGAAGAAGATAGAAATGGCAAAGGTCAAGTCAAGCGGCTCTAAATCAATGGAATGATTGATCAATCACTAACATGCAAGTGGGGTCAATGTGATTTTATATGGAGCGTAATAATCTTGAAATTTTCATAATAAATTAATTAATATTTATATTAATTGTTGTAGCCTGAATTCTAAATAGAGCTTAGAGATAGATGTTAGTAAAGGTTGCCAAGAAGGTCAGAGGTTCCAGGTTCGAACCCCAGCCCTGTTCAAGGAGAATTTAATTTTTTTCCCAGTTTTATGAGAAAATTTCTTAAATACCCATGTTTAAAAAAAAAAAAAAACAGAGAGACTTTCAGGATATTTTTTTCTTTCGGTGCTTTCAGTTCAACGAGAGGGAGGAGAGACTGGAGAGGATGACTCCTGAACTTTAAACCCTAACCTCTCCACTCTCCCTCCTTTGGTTCGTCTCTCCTCCCACTGTTCCTTGCTGTCAGAGTTGCCATCGCCGACGCAGCATTGTAATTCTTTTGGCTTGCTTTGGTTCTGAGTTTTCCAGCTTCATTGTGCCATCTTTCCCGCTTGCTCTGTTCGATTTTTGGTGGTTAGAAGGTTTGGAGTTCGTCTTTTCTTACTCTTGTGTGACTGTTGATGCGATCTTTATCTTCCTCTCCTCTAGATTCTTAGTTTGCCACTGTCGGTAATGGAGATAAGTTAGTCCTCTTGCATTTTTCCTCTGTTTTGGGATTTAATGTTCATATTTGTGCTGGGCGGTGAAATTTTTGGTTTGTTGTGCTTGTTATGAAGTTTATTAAGGTTGGAACGATGGATTAATATACGTGGTCATCATGTTTAATTATTACTCCCTCCGTCCCTTATTATAAGATCCAATTTTTATCCTTAGTTTAATGCATTTAATACATTCTCTTTCTTCATTTATCTCACTATTACTCTTTCACATCTACCATTTATATATAGGGGTATATTTGGAAAAAAATTGCATTTGCTACATATTAATTGCTTTTAACTAATTTTAACTGTTTTCTTAAACTGTGCAATTTAATTAAAAGAATTTTATAATAAGGGACGGAGTAGTACTGCATACAAGGTGTTTGTAGAAATGTTTAGAAAAAGGTTTGCTCAGAAGTCATGCTTTGTCAATTGAACCAAGATGCTTGTTCGATGGATGAGTTTGAATGATTTCTGATGGATTGAATGATTGATGATAATGGTGAATTGTGGTTTGTGACGTGAGCAGTTTGAAGATTACTCTTGCAATGTTGATGGCATCCAAGTAACGGGAGAATTGAAGTTCAACGTAAAACATTTGATTTGTCATTTAAGGACCAAGTTAAATTTCTCTCATGCCCTTTGGGTTTAAATTGACGAGGATGTTATGTTGAAAATGGCACCCAATACGGTAAATCTTGTAAGATAAATTTAAAAGTGTAATGCCCATCCTATAAGAGCCATTGGAATTTGAAAGTCAAAATAGTGAGTTCTAATGTTAGGATTTTCATTTTAGATGGTTCTCGAAGTTTTTATCTATCTAGTTATTGTGAAAACTTTTACATAAATTTTGACTTGAGTAGTAATATTTTTGTTTTGGGCTTTAGGGGATTGAGGAGAGTTCCTAATACGAACGTAAATAAATTTAAGTATTATTTTGGGAACTTGTCAGGTAAGTGAATAGCATCCCATTATTATGGTTTTTTTTTTTTTAAAAAAAAAGCTTTTACTACTTGTTATTAATCTAGTTAAATTATCATTTTCGCTACTAAATAGTTTATCCAGGTAATTTAATTTAAATTTTATCATTTTTCAATCTTAATTATTTAATGTCTTAATGTTTTATTGTTTAAAGAAATACTTTTGCTTCTTATGTTGAATAAATTGCCACTTGAGATATGTTAATCAGCATTTTGTTATTAATAAATATTTATGCTTGGAATTTGAAAAGGAGTTTTAAAAATGTTATTTGAGAACCTTCATGCTGAGATCATTTGTTACAAAATACTTTTTAAAGGATTCCATTATTAGAAATATATATATATATATATTTCCTCTGTTAAGTTAGTGATGAAGTGATCTCATGCCTACCCGTGAGTATTTCTTGGAGGACTAGATACAGAATGCTGATTACTAACAGCAGTACTATTAGTTCTTGGTGCGCCATGGAAATCTCGAGCTCGCTTGATATTTGTGGCATCGCTCTTGCGCTTGTTTTGTGGCTTCGGCTGCGCTTGATTTGTTACTCACCCTTGTGGATTGTGTGTCCATGTTTGTATTTGTGGTTTCAAGCCACGCTTGCTATCCCCTTCTGTTGAGGTCCTACGAAAAGTCAAGATTTGAAAAATAAATAAATAAATAGAATAAGGTTTTATATCATTTTCATGTATCAAGTTATCTTATTATGAAGTTCGATTTGATTTAATTGTTTAATGAGTTCAAGTATATACTTATCCTTTTAATTTAGGATTGTATACTATAGAAATTTTAATTCTTGCCATTTATCTTTCAAAGTTAAATTTATTTTATTCAGTTCTTAATATTTTATTAAATATTATAAAGGGACGTTATTCATTGGTAGATTATTTTTGGCTTCAGATAGCACCGCAGACCTTGTCCCTCCAACTGAGCAGTGAAGAGTCTCATTGAAGATCCAGAACCTATGAATCTATTTTGAGTAGTTGTTACTTATGTATTTAATTTTATAGCTATATGCTCCACGAAATCTATAGTTAGATCCTAGTCTTTTGCGATAAATTGGTATGTAATTATATATATACCTGTGCTGAGGAGTAGATCTCTAAATACTGTTCTAAACTTGCAGGCCATTGTAGAACTTTTGAGAAGTCTAATTTACTACGAAGACTTTGCTAAAATTTCTAAAAACGGTTTATTATTTTGGATTATATGATTTATTTATAGTAGATGTATGTTTTGGGTTAGCAAGATACCTTTGCCTGTTAACTAATTGTTGTGAAAGAGAAGGCTCGGGAATGTGAGATTTCTCATATTCCTTGCCGATTACCTTCAAAAATTGGGGTGTGACATGGAGAGAAGGAAGATGAGTCAAATAATGATAGAGGGGAACTGAAGGGGGTCTTTGATAATGATGGAGGATAGAAAAAGGAGGGGAAGGTGTTTGAAAAAGACTAGGTGCATATTTATTTATACTTCTCATATTTTATATAATAATGTTCTTTATATGATCAAACATTAGAAGCATACTATATCATGCAAATTTCTATTTTTCACTTCAGTTTTTATTATTCTATAAAATATATAATGCTTTTAATTATTAGGACTCATTTGGTATAACATGGGAATAGAAAGGAGAATGAGAATGAAAAAAAACGCTCTCTCATAAACATGGATTTTTTTTTTTTTCCTTAGCAAAGTCATTTTGTTATAACCACAAAGTGACAGGTTCAACTTGCAGAAGTTGTATCAGTTTTACCAAGGGTATTGAGTTCGATTCATAGGAATGTAACGACGTTAAATACTTGTCAGAAAATCTTTGCCGCCTTTTGTGGAGTAAGTTCTCTAATTTAAGTGGGATAGGTCGAAAAAGTCATTTTGAGCTTACAGGGACTACTGGTTTTAGAGTGAGTAAACTTAAAGTGTCAAAAACAATGGTTTCAAATTTCAGTGATTAAAACCAAAATGAAGACAAATTGTTTGGACCAACAAAGATATTAACTCTTGTTATTCTTAACTTGTGCCTCATTTTTCCTAAAACACTCCTCTTTTAGTGAGAGCATTAAATGTTAGATAGAAACAAGAAAATAAAATGGATCAAAGTCTTATATTTAAAACCAAACCACATCTATCAAATGATGAAACTTCTATACTAAGGGATGATATTAATTAATAAGGTGTTAGGAAGGCTGATGATCAACTAAAAATTGGATATTTGGCAAATGTTACTCTTCCCACCAAGCAAAACGAATTATTTGTATGTGTGTGTGTGTGTGTTTTTTTTAATAATAGTGTGATTTATGATAAATTTATCATACGTATTGATGATCGTATATATCAGCACTTTAATTTTGATTCCACTTAAAGTAAAGTGAATTTTAAAAGGGAGAATGACAATCGAGGGTTCTCTAAGGAAATTAATACAAACCGAGAATCTGTTTGCAATCAAAATTTACGAGTCATCAAATTTTTATATCTAAAACTTGAAGATCGACATTTTACATTAATCTTCTTACAAGATTCTTAATTATCATTCTTCCATTTTAAAAGCCTACTAAAATTTATATGGGTTTTCCTTCCGTAGTAATGCAAACCAACTCTCAAGCGCAAAATCGAGCCTCTTGCAGCTAGAAGTTATTAATTGTGCAGAAATTCTTAAAATAAACTTGCCGCTGTAAGATAAACAATTAGATAAAACGAAAAATAAAATTTCATTAAAAAATAATGCAACATCAGATTTTGAAAAAGTAAAATAGATGAACAAGAAGATGAAGTTTAAGACTCCGCTTACATTTCATCAGAAGAAGATTGCGCCCACCAACAATACCATCAGAGTTATTGCAATAAAGTTCCATGAATCTACATCACCTCATAAACATCTACACAATGAAAGCAAAACAAAATACAACCTAACCAAAGTTCATAACAATTGTGAAAATCACTTTCCATTTTCTCTTTCTTCTGTGATTAGGACTCCCAAGTCACACTAAGCTGTACGTCTCCATGATGATGGAACTCTAATTAATGAGCTTCAATCAAGAGAGGCATGATGGGTTTTCTGTTCTCTGATAAGTCCTTGTTTTGGGGCAAAACAACTATTTCAGACATCGTTGGCCTTATGTCAGCATATGCTTGAGTGCAAAGCAAACCAATCTCGAGCACTTTCTTCACTTCTTCTTCATCATAGTCATTAGGGTCTAAGGTTTTGTCTACCAACTCTAAGTGCATGTTTTTCTCATATAGTTTCCAAGCCTGTCAAGTGGGATTAAAGTGAATGGAATATAAAAGGGGCGAACAAAGGAAAAACATAAGTTAACATATATTGTATTTTTTTTATTAAATGCTTTATTTGATTCACTACTTTTTATACGAGAATTAACCGTGTGAATACTGGGTTGTTAAATAAGGCCTCCATTTGTTTTTGAAAAATAAAAATACGTCTTAAAATAATTGTGGGAATTTTCTTACTTTTTGAAGGAGGAATTCGCCTTCATCATGGCCATGGACCCTCAATTCTTCACTTCTCTTACCACTGATGATTTCCAAGACTACAACGTCATAGTTGAAAACATCAGCTTTTTTTGATAATTGGTTGTTCGCCGATTAGCTAAACCGCAAGCAGACGGGTTGCAAGTAATATAAAAAGTATCGTTCCCTCAGAGACTAAGGCTAGATGAGTTGAAAAATCATAATTGTGTTCTTGATTAGGTTAAGTGAGACAAATGTTATAAAAGAGTTTGTGAAATGAAATTAGGAAAGTAATGATTTAATGCAGCATAAAATCAACTTGACTTTGAAACAA